CGAGGTTGGACAGGCGACCCTATTCCTTGTCACGTACAAGCGGGGAATCGAAACGCGTTAACCATTCGGCCATCCAAAACCTCGTCACAAACAGGGGAATTCCTGAAAATAACGTTATTGTTATACCTGTAACGACTGACGGGGGAAATTACTGATAAGAAGGTTATTGTTACTTGTTACGAGAAAATGAAAAGTTATTATAACGTTAATGTTACTACTTATGAGATTTAACTATAATAACGCTATGGAGATTAAAATGGGAAATCGCCGATATTAATGTCATTGTTATTATAGTGACGATTTAAAGGGGAACCACCCATATTAGCGCTATTGTTATACTAGTAGTGACTAAAGGGGGAATTACCGATAATAGCGTTATTTTTATTCTAGTGACGACTAAACGGGGAATCACGGATATTATTGTTAAATTAGTTACAGCTAAAAGGAATCCCGGATAATAGCGTTATTGTTAGACCAACTACAGCTAATTGAAGATGTTTTCCTCGTGTTTCTTGCATTAAAGGTTACTGAATGTTGTTTATATTTTATTGTGTAGATATTACATATATCATCTGGACTGTGTTTATGGTATAAAGGTTATGAAACAGAAGTTACAGTTATGTTAATACCATGTGATATACAGCAACAACCGGTAAATACACCATATTCTTAATCCACATCTCTTCCTTATTTCATTATAGCTATTTCACATCATATTTGTGTAACTTTCGTCAAGATACCTAAAATTACACAAAATGCGATTTATGTTTTATCACCTATCTTTAAAAAGAGAACATAAGGTGGTGTTCTCTGTAGTGGTTATATTTTGCAACAGACTTTGTGTACTATATTTATTTCAGCGCTTTTAATCTTCTTACCCAACTCACATTTTGGGAAAGGATAGGGAAATAGGGTTTTATTTCAATAATTCACTTGCGCGTAGGGTCGCCTGTCCAACCTCGTGGGTTTTCTCTGGGGTTTCCTCCCACTGCTAAAGAAGCCTACGCGCAAGCGAATTATTGAAATAAAATTGAATCATGTGTTAGTCCCGAAATGACCTAGTTTGTGTCGAGTGGACGTTGAACCCCCTTTCTCTCTCTGATCGTTCGGTTAGGGCGAAACACCCTCATTGCACATGCCTGTCTTCATTGTGAGAAAAGTGGGACGTTAATTCCCATTAATTTCATTTACGATAATTTATACACCCGGCTACCTTTTCTCCTCTTTCTATTTATTCTTTACTCTATTTACTCTATTTGTCTAGGAAATAAATTGTTGACTACTAATTCGGATAGGGTAGGGAACTAGTGTCTGTGTGCCAGGGGCGTGCTGGCAGGGAGTTTAGGAGGACGGTGTCCTCCCAGGCCCCCATTAAACAACAAGTCCACCCGTATAAGCGGGCCCCCCTGAGAGCTCTAATTTTCACGCGGAATCCCCTCAAAAAATTGAGAGTGCGCACGCGAAAAATCATACATACACAACGATTAGTAAAATATATTATGCTGACGTGCAAATGTCTGTCACCTTAAGGTGAAATGGTCTTTGATTAAAAATTTTGCCGACTACAGCAAAATCATAAAGTGGAGTCAGAGAAAGTACAGTAGTATGTCTTATAGTCAAAATAGCAGCATAAATTTGGAAAATATGATACCTAGATGTCTCCCAGAAGTGCTTGCAAAATGCGTTTCCCGTTGTCAAATTTCGGCGAGCGACGGGCCCCTTCGGGGCCAGCACGCCCCTGCTGTGTGTTCGTGACGGATGAAATTCGATTAAGCGTCACGGAAACGCCACTGTTCGGACAAACTTCTCCTCTCTAGTACGGATATTGGTTGCAAGATGGTCGACATATTGTGTTTTCGGGACGTTAATCGTTATTTCTTTTCTGTATGTGTTAAAGATCTTTTTTCGTGGTCCACTTCCACTGAGGTGATATCACAAACAAGCCCATGTTTACGTCCGATTACCCCCACCCCCCTCCCACATACCTTTTGATATCATCCCTTTATATCGAAACAAATTGTGATATTTATTTCAGACGTGGCGTGAAACAGATCATCATAGTTTCAGACCATCAAATTTACACAGAAAATGTTTACATAGTAGCACAGATATTACTTCGTCACAGATTCGATTATGTGACTTTAGGGCTTTTCAAACTTTTATATGGCGGCTAGAGGTAAGTTTTATTTTAAATGGCATATATCATTTCGAATTCATTCAGATATGTATCCCCGCTCTTACCATTGAAGGCATGTCTATAGATTGCCGGGAGCCACGGTGGCTCAGTAAGGCGAAATCTGATTAAAATACAGATCTATATTTCGTTTCGTTTTTTTATACTCTCGATGGCCTACACTGGAAGGTCGCGTCAGGGGTCGTACGTGCGGCTTTTGGCCCTATGACGTCAAACATTGATTAATCAATCAGCGTTGACGTTTCTAGTGGTTTACCCACAAGTCCGTCCATCGCACGCCAAGAATACGCCGTAACAGGTTGTTTCATTGGCTAATTAACCAGAACGCCGGTAATATAACAACTCTTCCAGATTCTACTGTAGTAAAGAAATGCGGTTTAACGTCCTACTGTTCTACTCCAGGTGAGCTAATGACGACGGGCTAGTGTAGTAAAGACAAGTAAAATGAAATTGTGAAATATAAAAAACGAAACGAAATAGGATCTGTGTTTTAATCAGATTGAGTAACAAGACGTTGGCTCCCTAACTTAGAGGTCCCATGCTCGCTACCTGCGTTGGCTGAGAAATTCAACCAGGAGTTCCCGGTGGAGCCCCCATCATCATTGGTGCAAGACAGGGGGCCTGGCAAAGGACAGTGTATAGTCCTTAGGATGGGGAGAAAAACGAGGCCCTGTGTACGCATTGGCAGTAACGTACAAAATCCTTTGACAGCTGGAATTCGATATAAAAGTAGGCCGTAGCGCCGCTGCCGGACAAAATTTCCCCATAGCACTGTTAGATTTATTTGACAAGGCAAGCCCCTAACCCAAGACCTAGCCCTACGTCTTAGCCAAACCGACAATCCTCGGCAACCCTGTTTAAATCTCGTGACCTTGAGGAAATATGCATCTGGCTTTGTCAAAAAGATCTGACCCCATAGCACACTCCCAGTCTTCATTAGTCCAGTCGGAGCTAAAGCTAAACCTCATTTCATTTCATTTTATAGAACAACAAACATCTGATGTAAGGGAAATAACTCTATACCTTTTATAATTTAAGAATACTACAAGTCAGCTGTATCATCCTGCTAGTGGTAAATGTTTGGAACCAGACTCAGATTATCAACAATCTGTAATTCGTCTGGTACCATGTACAGATAATAATAAACGATTACATTTTGTTATGATTAAATAAACGACCAAAGACATGTTATCCCTTAGTTATAGGCGCTTATCATTGTCACCCGATCTGCCTATTGTTAGCATTCTAGTAGCCACAAATTATTTCTTGGCTTGTATTGATTATTTCCTACCTTTGCTCTGAACCTCATAGGGAAGTGAACCCAAAATTGAACGAGACTGGCCACTTCTCGCAACTTCTCGGTTTAGTATGGTGGCTGCATGTTAGCAGCCATTCAAATGAATCTAAATTGTCGCCTTGTGAAGAAGGTGACAAGTCGACAAAATCAACCCGTCAACATGACAAAATAACCCGACGATCGTCGCCTTCATTTCGTCGAGTTGTCGGGCCAATTCTGTCGACTTGTCGCCTTAGACTTATTCAGGTTGTGAATAAGTCGAAGGCGACAAGTCGACAAAATCAACCCGCCAACACTACAAAATAACCCGACGATCGATCGTCACTTTCATTTCGTCGACTTGTCGCCTTCGACTTATTCACAACCCGACAAGTCGATGAATTGAGTCGACAAGTCAACGAAACAAGTCGACGAATTAAGTCGACAGATTGAGTCGACAAATCGACAAATTGAGTCGACAAGTCGACGAATTGACACGACGATCGTCTCCTTCATTTCGTCGACTTGTTGGGTCAATTCTGTCGACTTGTCGCCTTCAACTTACTCACAACCCGACAAAATACAATTATTTCGACTAGTCGTGCGGCAACTTGTCGCCTCGGAAGTCAAACTCGAGCTTCCGCATTTGCCGCACGACAAGTCGAAATAATTGTATTTTGTCGACTTGTTGGGTTTTGAATAAGTGGACGCGAGAAGTCGACATAATTGACCCGACAAGTCGATGAAATAAAAGCGACGATCGTCGGGTTATTTTGTCGTGTTGATTTCGTCGACTTGTCTCCTTCTTCATAAGGCGACGATTTAGATGACATTTGAATGGCCGCTAACAGCCACCATAGTTTAGCATGTTTAGTCCAGAGGGCACTAAAGAGTACCCATCCGCCTGGTTGGTACAGAAATCAGGAGGCATGTTGGCCCACTATCCACGGTGTCCTGGGTTCGATCCTACCATTGGCCAAGAAAGTACCTCAGGATTTTCCAGCGTTGGTTCCTGTTTTCACTGGTGCAAGATGGAGGGCCTGGCAAGGAACCGTGTCTTATATTCGGACAGACCTGAGGACTTGTGTACACGTTATCTTTCACGTAAAAGAACCCTAATTTAAATAACATTGGGCCATAGCGCTGCTGTTCACCAAAAGTACCTCATAGCATACTATAATCTTGCATATACCCGTCATCATTACCCCAGACGGTACCTAACATTGTTTTACTGGCCACCACCAACGGGACGTCACCGCGATTTTTCGCCTAACTTATAGCTCGTCATGTGCTCGCAGGTAATCGTCTTACCGAAGCTATGCATAAATGAATCGAAAGAAAGAGGTGATGACAGCAACTCGGAAGACGAAAACAACGATGCTATTTACAAAACCCGATACAGTCGCTTCGTCATTTGTTTGCCGATTTAATCCCAACCAACTTGAACACAAGTGAATTTATTAATGTGCGGTTACCGTCAAGAACTCTCTCTACAAACACCAGCACTCAATCCATTAATAACATGTTTTATTGTAAATTTTATTACATGTATGATAGAACAATGACAATATGATCAAATTCATTAATATGTTTGAGAAAGCAGAATGTAATTATGCTAAATTTAATCTGACATACAGATTATTCTCTTTGATAAAACAAATTTACATTTTCAGTACTTACATCCCAGGACGAATTTTTAAATGTTAGATGGAAAAAATAAATGATCAATATGAAAGTAGTAAAATAGGTTGATAGTGCAGGATGGGTACAATTAAAGCTGGTTTTTGAGACCGTTTACAGTGTCAGATTTAGATAAAGAGAGGACCTAGGCTATCACACTTATGGGGGCCACTTCTAGATGAAAGTGTCTTTTAAATACAATTGAGCAGGGTCGAGGATTTTTTTTGCGGCTCTATGCTTCAGCCAGCCAATTCTTTAGATAAATCCGGCACTGCATATATTCATCAGAGAATTACTATAAATCATTATACAGCTGTCATACTCTTTAAGTTTTATTTAGTAACTGAGAAACACATTAAAAGAAGACAATTGTTTTTACCTTAAGTTTACTATCGATATGAGGATACTTGTTGGAACATTGTGCTTATAATAAAACTAGTGTTTATAGCCCATAGAAATTGTGTTCTGATAATAAGCAGCTGACAGCCTGCCTAAAACCCGTGTTTACATGCTCTAATTATATAATTATATAAATTAATTCAATACAGAATCAATAACCATGCAAAGTTCTGATGGTGATACAGGAATACAACAAAAACATAATTTAAGTGACTTTAACAAATTAATATGGACGGCAGTCTTTACAATAATATTATAAATACATCAAAATAAAATAAAAATATAACAGAAATTATTATCTTATAAAACATTTATGCATAAACAACATTCAGATACAAACAACCAAACAAATATATGATTTGGACAACATGATAAACTATAAACACAGCAACCATCTATATGGAATACCTACATTCACTGACTTATAGCGCTAAGTTTTGACAAGTGTTCCCGTGTAGTAGGTTTAACGTCCACTCGACACAAACTAGGTCATTTCGGGACTAACATATGGTTCAATTTTATTTCAATAATTCGCTTACATGTAGGGGTCTTTAGCAGTGGGAGGAAACCGGAGGCCCGGAGAAAACCACGAGGTTGGACAGGCAACCCTACTCCTTGTCATGTACATGTGGGGAATGAAAACCACCTGCTAACCATTTAGCCATCCAACCCCCTGTAGTGGAAAAGGAAAAACATATATATAATAAACCAGTCATATTCCATATAAATGGTTTTTGAGTTTTTGATCTGCTCTATCACCAAATTCCCCTCAAGGATTATGATAAAAATGTTTTGATTAATAATTTGTCAATCATTCATTAACAATTGATTGTGAGAATCATTTGTAATAATAATACCTGTAATAAATATCCACTTGATATAGTACAAAACAAATATTTTAATAGAGATTTCCTTTTTATCATAATGGCAAATTAAGAAATTTACCAGAATTTACAGTTTTTAGTTAGTTTTAATGTATGATACATGTTCTCAAATATACCAAAAATATACTTTTGCTAATCTTAAAACTGATATATGATAAAACAGTCTAGTTGGACGGTGTTGACCTAATTTTTGGTGGTTAAGGGACTGAGAGAATTGAATTCCACGATGTTGGTTTGAATAAGTCCAGAGTCACAATGTTCATTTGAATAACCCCATAGTCACAATGTTTGTTTGAATAACCCTGTAGTCACAATGTTCATTTGAATAACCCAATAGTCACAATGTTCATTTGAACAACATCATAGTCACAATGTTCATTTGAACAACATCATAGTCACAATGCAGCCTTTCTTGTTAACAAATTTCTGGACATCTTCAATTGAAATGGCCATGTTTTAAAGCACTATAAATGGCCAGTTACTTTCAGGATTTCAGCAGCTAAACTTGACATACCAACATCAGCATGAGAACTGAAAATATAACAAAGAATTTTTGTTTTAGAAATCAAGCATTGTCAGGTAACTGATATGCGTCCACCAGTGCCATTTTGAAAGTTGGTTTTTGAGCTTTTTTAGGGTCAGGGCCAGTAGATATGCATAAAATGGAGAGGCAACTTTGAATTACAACTAGCCAACAACCGAACATTGCTTGCAATTTTGATAGAAAAAAATCTCACAAATCGCATTCAAGGTTCTGGGGTGAAGGAAACTAACTGTATAAAATTGATGGGGCAACAGAGAGATGGAATTAATGTCCACTCTGCCCAGACTAGGTTATTTTCGGACTAACATTGGGTAATTCTTATTTCAATAATTTGCTTGCATGTATGGGGTTTATATAGCAGAGTTAGGATATCAGAGGACCCCAAGAAAAACACACGACATTACGTAGGCAACATACAAACATGGGATCTAAACTATCCCACATGACACAACAACACACTGTAACTAAAGCATATGTGTGATTACTTGGCCACCTACCCCCCACTAGTCAAACAATTCAAGCAGGTTTGAAAAAAAAAATCTCAAAAAAAAAATAGACTTAACAAGCAATGGATGAAATGGGATTTCTTCTTAGGGAAGATCAGATAATCCAAGCAAGTTCGAAAACAAAGTCTCAAAAACTCTGACCTGTTGAACATTTACAAAAACTGTGGATGCACCAATAGCATACACCATGTGGAATTAATCTAAAATGATTATTCAACATAACAGCCAAAAGGCCATAACTATATCTGACTGGTTAGATGTTTCTGACTCTAACCGCTTTAGCTCTTCAATAATGTGCAGGCCTATGATTCAATGGTAGATTCTTGTCTCCATCCACACGATATTATCACAATTTGTTGCATTGGAATTTTCTTAGAAGAAGCATAAATCTCACCTTGCTGTTTGTACCAATGATTTTATAGTATTAGCTAATATCTGTCCATGTTGTTTCATACTATCAGCATGTTTACTATCTGTTCCAACCTGGTATAATAAATTATACATTATATCATACATGTTTACCAACGTGATATATTCAAATATACATTATATCAAACATGTTTACCATCTGATCCAACCTGGTATAATAAATTATATATTATACTTTATACCAAACATGTTTACTATCTGTTCCAACCTGTTATAATAAATTATATATTATATCAAACATGTTTACTATCTATTCCAACCTGGTATAATAAATTATATATTACACATTATATCATACATGTTTACTATCGGTTCCAACCTGGTATAATAAATTATATATTGCACATTATATCAAACATGTTTACTATTTGTTCCAACCTGTTATATGATACATTATTCATCGTTTCATACAAGGAAAATGGAAAATTTTGGGAAAACATTTGGTGAAAACATTTACATGGAGAGTGGTAGATTAGTCCACCAGGATAATGGGGAAACTTTCTGTGAGCCCCAAGTGATAAACCATCACTTTGGAAATAATGTATTAACATAAATAAATACAATAATATTGCTTAAACTTAAAACCCTTACTTTTATTTCATTCTTTTGACCGCATTTTCGGATCAAATGGGCCTTTTTTAGTGGACATTTTGCAATATATCCATCTACAAAATTTAGAACAATTGACCACAGTACACAAATGTGTTTCACGACAAAATTTAATAGTTATGTGAACTTCTCAAATACACAAGCAGTGTTATCTGATGTTCTATTAAAACAAGAATATAATAATCTGTATCTCTTACCAATCTTTTGATGACTCGGAGTAGAATTTTCTGTTTTTTCACATCAGCCTTTTTTAGAGCATTACTGTAGAATTCCTGTAGGTTAATAAAAGAGATTTTGTTATTTGATATCGATTTAATTCTTATTAGAGATTTTGTTATTTGAAATCGGTTTAATTCTTAATATAAGATAAATGACACAAGGACAGCATAGAAAGTGAGATTAAGTATGCGAATAAACGATAAATCATGAAGAAATATTCAGAGAGTCTTTCACAAAGAATTAGCAAGTTTTATTTGTTAAAATATATGTGAGACTATTCAGGAAACCTGTAATATGAACTCACCATGTTTTCAGTGGACATAGAATCTTTATTTTCTCCACCATATAGCTGAACTAATAACGACAGTGATTTAACAGTTATATCATATATATCACTATCATCATAACATAGCTGTAATATACAAACAGATATATCATATAGCTGTAATATACAAACAGATATATCACTATCATCATAACATAGCCATAATATACAAACAGATATATCATAAAGCTACAATATATTACAAACAGATATATCATAAAGCTATAATATACAAACAGATATATCACTATCATCATAACATAGCCATAATATACAAACAGATATATCATAAAGCTACAATATATTACAAACAGATATATCATAAAGCTATAATATACAAACAGATATATCACTATCATCATAACATAGCTGTAATATACAAACAAATATATCACTACCATCATGACATAGCTATAATATACAAACAGATGAGATGAATTTCATCAACACGATGCTTCAGTTTATATAAGACTAACATATGGTTGATTTTCTTTTACTATAGTCACTTTTGCAATACCAGAGAGCAGTGGTTATATCAGATCCTCATCAATTTACAACTATCAAGAGCTATTTCATATGTACAATGCTGTAAACAGAGGTGGTAATAATTGCGAGCGTATAAAAAAATCCAAGATATATATGTACAATGATTGGGTTGAAGCCACAACTGTAACAGACTGAGGACCTTGTCACATGAAGAGTACAACCTGTCTGAGTATTATATACAATGTCAATATACATACCAACTGTGTTAGAACTGATGTTAGATCTGTTAGAGGTTTATTATACATCAGTAGTTGTTCAGCCCATTCAGCTTCTTTACCTGCTGTAGCTGCTCCACCTTTCTTAGACTAAAAAATAAACAAGTCATGCACTTTATTAAAGGGGCATTATGCAAGATTAGATAAAGCGCTGGCAGTTTTCACTATAATAGTTAAAAACTAGATAATGTAAAGGGAATATGCTGAAAATTTCAGTCAAATTGCTCCACTCTGAACCGAGATAGCAAATTGCATTTTAGACCTAGCCTTGATCATCATTACTAAAGTCGGTACATAAAAAACATAGTCTCGATTATCCATTTTTGGATTTAATCATCAATGAGCGTTGAGCAGCAGATCGGATTCAAATCCAATGAAAATCTGATGCATAAGATGGCATCGAGAGTTGATTATGGTATGGATAAGTTAATTAATGTCTAATTAATAATTTAGAAAACATTTGAGGCCTAAAGAAAGACCTGCAATAGACAGATTTAGCTCTTGCATAATGTGTGTTTAAAACCCTTGTGTCTCTTTACTTCATATCTTGTGGACAATTTTAAAATTTGCCTTAAAATGTAACCTTTCGTTACTCTAATTCATATCTACTGGTACTTATATAGAACACTGAATACTTCAGTATCTTTTTATTAGCATTTATTACACTATAATGGGAGTCATAACAACTCAAATTATGACAAAATCAAGGCAAACTATATCTGCATATATGCTTGTAGGGGTCTTTTAACAGTGGGAGGAAACCAGAGAATCGGAGTGAGAGAGATGGGGTTTAATGTCCACTTGACATAAACTTGATCATTTTGGGACTAACATATGATACAATTTTATTTCAATAATGCTTGTAGGGGTCTTTTAACAGTGGGAGGAAAACCAGAGAATCAGAGAGACCCATGAGGTTGGACAGGTGACCCTACTCCTTGTTATGTACAAGCAGGGAAACGAATCACGCCACTTGACTCAATGGCAGACCTTCTGATTTAAAGCGCATGTGTTAAAGTATTCGGAAGTAGGAGAATTTTACCCGGACTGTGGCATTCTTCCATTTCAAACTGTCAAGGGTTATTTTACATGCACGCCAATATATACACAGGTGAACCTCACATTTTTTATCCCATTCGAATGACTTTCCTCATCACACCTGACAAGTGAAGGCCAGACTTGACCAATAGAAGGACTGAAGAGTTTTGGTGCCACCTACCTGTAAAGCTTTTCGTACAATATCCGAGACATATTTAAGTATATTATATAGAGTTTCTAGTAGAGCTTGTAACATGGTAGTAGCTGATTTAATATCTTGTCCACTTTCTTCTCCATCAAAACATACACCAGATACCTCGAAAAATAACGTCGTTATATTATCTATCATACCTGAAAAATATAACATATTTTATACAGAAATTACCTTTCTTATTTAAATAAAGGCAAGATCTTGTTTCAACTGTACACTGACCTCAGGTTTTTTGTATCATCTGAAGCAAAATTAGATCCTTATTACGATTTATTTATTTTTTCACTGCCTAAAAGAAATTAACCAAGTAGGCCTATCTGATGCCCCATTCATACATGACCTAGTTTGTGTCGAATGGACAGTAAACCCCATTTCTCTCTATGAAGCCGGAAGTGATGCAATTCTGATACATTGGTTATTGTCATCAATAATTGTATAGAGCTTGTCCCATCGCCATTTAATAATTGAACGACAAACTAGGTAATCAAGACTTTGTTTATTATCATTGAAATGGTACCTGACAATCAAGACTTCACTCACAATAAAATAATTTGACTAAAATTTTCAATAATATTCATTCCTCATTGTTTATTATTGAACTATTATAGCAAGAATGACCAGCTCTTTATCCGACTCTGACATAATGCTTCTTTAAAAATATCATCCTTTCCAATCCTACCTTGATCATATAATTCCTGTACATTCGTCTGTCTATTGCTGACCAGACAATTTATAATACCAACAATACTTTGCATGGTGGTACTGGAAGGATTATTCTGATGATCCTAAAAATTAAAGCACAATATTTACAGGTTAAATTAAGTTCAAGAGACTTTTATTGGACAGACCTCATGTATGAATTCATGGTGTATTTTAGTTAGTTGTATAAACTAATAGATGCAATAACTTAGTTACAATGACTGGGACATATTTCACAGTATAAATACCGATACTTGAAGTCTATGCGTGTCATTGGCACAAATTTTCGACACTAAAATATACTCGGATTGATTATGTAACATTCAACTAAAGGTAGATTTAATTAACGGTAGATAACCTGCCAAGTAGGCATCAATTGGATTTAAAAGAAGTCAATTAAAAAGATCTCGGCGAAGATTACAGGTGACACTGGTGATTAACCGTTTATATAGCATGTTCACACGATGCCGAAAGTTGACCAATCATCAATTAATCATATCTATATAAATGCTAAACAGAATTAAACCATTGCTGGACTGATAGACTTTTTAGTGGTTGAACTTTCACATCAAGCGATTCTCCATCAATTGACATTCACAAACTTTCATTTCTCATAAGACATTTAATTGTATTTATTTTCTATGAAAAATAAACATACAACACATGATAACCATGATGCACAACATGCTTGATTCATTCAGGGGTATAGGTAAAACATTCTATAATTGGTTATATATATTTATGTATTGCATTATGAATGGTATAAAATAATATTATGGGTTATTAACAGGAAAATATGAAAAGCAATAGGGTTACTTTAGTAACTAGTTTGAACCCATGTATTAAGTTAAATTCATCTATAAATTATTCAATGAGAAATGAATGGGGTTAACCTCCTATATAATCATCAACACATTGCTTCGGCTATTTTAAAACTAACATGGTATGGTTTATTTTCTTTGTTACAATATGTCCATTCATGTCTTTGCATGAAAATGAAATGAAATGGGGTTTATTGCATTCCAACTGTCAAGGTTTATTCTATGTGTAGGACCTCAGTTTTTAGTCCCATCCGTGCAACTAGACCATCCATCCTGCACCGCTAACAAGGGGAAACCACTTTGTACTTTTTGCTAGAGCAGATCAATTTAAAGAATAACATAGTCTCCCTTTGAATACATGCAAATGAAAATTATGTACAGTCTGACATCACTATACACCAGGCCTCAGTTGGACACATATGGTTTACACAGAACACACATGTCTAAATTAAGCGTAAAAACGTCAATAATTTAAAATATATTTTATGAACTAATGATATATCTGATGATAAGTATATAGATATTATCCTCCAAACAACTCATGCAGTAATCTAGACCTACTTACATCATCTATATTATCCTAAATATAATAAATAAAACTTCAATAGCTAGATATACTTTCGTATAATTCATATGGCATTATTAGCGCCAGTTACAATAAAAGTAACTATATATTTTTAGGATGTTCCAACATTTAGGCAACAGGTCATAAAACATAATAAAATATAGTCCGGCTTTGTCTGGCACAGATTTGGCTTTTATATAATGTTTTTAATGATAATTATAATATATGCCTGGTACAAAGTTCAAAATATCAGATATTAGTTACATGTACATTATTGTCTTACAGTTTGTCATGTCTGCTTACATTGTTAACTTTTCTAGACATCAAGATTACATATATAGGAATATAAATACACTTCAATGTTCCATTACAGGTTGCCTTTTATTGTTTTAAAACCTCAATACCTTAATGTTATATTACAGGTTGCCTTTTATTGTGTTAAAACCTCAATACCTTAATGTTATATTACAGGTTGTCTTTTATTGTGATAAAACCTCAATACCTTAATGTTATATTACAGGTTGCCTTTTATTGTGTTAAAACCTTAATACTGTAATGTTATATTACAGGTTGCCTTTTATTGTGTTAAAACCTCAATACCTTAATGTTATATTACAGGTTGTCTTTTATTGTGATAAAACCTCAATACCTTAATGTTATATTACAGGTTGCCTTTTATTGTGTTAAAACCTTAATACTGTAATGTTATATTACAGGTTGCCTTTTATTGTGTTAAAACCTTAATACTGTAATGTTATATTACAGGTTGTCTTTTATTGTGTTAAGACCTTAATACTGTAATGTTTATTACAGGTTGGCTTTTATAGTTCTATATCCTAAATAATTATGTTAAAGCCCCTATATAATCATTTTCCTTTAAAATATTGACATAAAATTATTCTTTAGATATTAATTATATATATATATATACTCTTCAAAAAAAAGAAGGGGATATTTAGAAACAATACAAAACTGCGGAAATGCACTGCTGTTTTTATTAGAGGTAACCAGTGTATGTTAATAACAGGCCAATTGCCTACACATCAACATAAACAGTTCATATGGGCGGCTTATCTGACAGCCCCATTTCACTCGCAAAGAGATACACCGTCAAAAGTGAAAATGGACGTTTGTGAATTTTGTCTTAATAATGAGTAATTGCTCCACCAATCCTCAGACATTCAGCAATTCGTCGTGGCATGCTCCTAATTAACCGTCCAATCACGATTTAGGGCAATCTGACCAACTCCCCTTGCAGTACCACGGCCAATTCTTGCAGTGTTGTCGGATGAAGTTGACGTCGACGAATGCGTCTCCCGATCAAATTAAGCGTAAACACAATAAAGCAAAGATACACTAAACAGTAAATCTTATGCAAGAACCGATAAGAAAGCAAACATGGATAGGCTAAACCAGCACGCGGCATTTTTTCATCAACCCTTCCTTGATGCGTGTCGCATGTGCAGCTCAGTGGTTCTGTTGGGGCGATAAGTTCTTCATCTGTGAACATACTATCAAAGCATGTCAAGTGTTCATGACTATTTATCATATCACAACCTGCATAGGTATTTGCATTTCAATATCCCCTACTTTTTTTGAAGAGTATATATAATAATCTAGACAATTAAAACATTTTGCCCTCTATGGTTGGTAGTAGAAATATATTATCACTCAGACGTCAGCTATCGATCTTAGAGTGAAATGATGGTAATATGAACTTAATAAAAAGTAATGACAAGTTTAGATTAATTGATTTGATTAAATCTTTGGACTATAATCCTTATAATTTTATAATGTGTATATGAAAGTCTATATTGCCTTTTACTCTGGAATATTGTCAAATGAAATGTGGTTTTATTTTGATCAATCTGATTAAAATACAGATCTATATATCGTTTCGGTTTTTTTTTATACTTTTGATGGCATACACTACATGAAGATCTGATTGGTTGCAGTGGAAGGTCGTGTCAGAGGTCATACGAGCGGCTTTTGACCCTAAGACATCAGACATTGATTAATCAAACAGCAGTGACGTTGCTAGAGGTTTACCCACAGTTCCATGCACCACACGCCATAAACTCGCTAATCCCTCACATTAACCAGAAGGCAGCTTATATAACAACTCTTCCAGATCCTAGTGTAGTAAAGACAAGTAAAACAAAATTTTGAATGATAAAAAACGAAACGAAATAGGATCTGTGTTTTAATCAGATTGTATTTAGATTGAACAGTCATGCTACAGCCTACTTTTTTTTCAATTTTGGGGGATCTTTAACATACTGCCAATGGGAAATATTGTGTCTTTAGTAGAACTAACCTGTAGAACTGTAAATATAACTGGTATTAAACCTTTATCTTCAAATTGTTTTATAAAACTTGTATTCTGTTCTAGTAATGATAAAATTAACTTTAACGCATAACTAGGAAGTGGGTCCATGTCTAATAATATCGACTCAAATCTGAAAAATAGAAAAATCAACAGAAGCATAATATAAATTTCTTTCTTCTATTGTAAAAATAACTACTGAAATAATTAAACAAAAATGCAGCAGGGATAACCTAAGAGTTTAGGCAGTCAACAGTTTTGGAAAAAATGCATTATTTATACTTAAAGGTCACCGGAAAAGCTTCATAAATTTTTAAAATAATGCTAGTAATTATGTAAACATATCCTTTCCATAAGCTTAACACGAACCCAAATTTCAATTACTTGCATTATTTAAAAAATAATTTGAAGCCTTTCGGATGACCTTTAAGACCACACAACCACCCTCCAAGCCCCAAATCTTAGAAGTCGTAAATGTGTAAGTGTTACTCCATTAGTAAAATCGTCAGAAGGTAGATACACCTACATGTACTTTATTAAAGATGCATTATGTAAGAGCTAAATCTGTCTATAACAAAACTCGCTATGGCCCGATTTTAAGTAGATTAACAAAACACCATGGCCATTTAAGAGTTTAACTTTAAATCGGTGGCCAAATCCCATTGCTACAATAATAAACAATCTACCCTACATTTTGTCAAAACTTCAAACACCCATAACTTCATACAAAATAAAGTAACTTGAGGGGGGTTTAACATCCACTCGACACAAACCAAGTCTTTAGCAATGCAAGGAAACTGTAGGACCCGGAGAAAATCCACAAGGTTGGACAGGCGACCCTACTCCTTGTCACGTACAGCTATCCATCCCCCAAACTCAAACTTCAAGACAAACCAGACTAATAAAATAAGCAAATTACTGAGACTAAGATTTACTCAATAAACAGGTCCCCCTAATTAATGTAAACACTGTTTCTACTTACTGTGTTAGAAGATTTTCTGTAATGATCTGATGAAGTCGTTGTGTGTCGATTTTATTTTCGATATTATTACTATACTGATCTTGACTTAAATATATTGATGATATCTCCGTAAAAAGGCGTAAAGATAAAACTTTTGTATCAACTACAAAATAATATAATTGTCATTAAATATATTGTAAACAATCATACTTTTAGTCGAACTGCTAAAACCCACATAATAAATATCAAATCTGAGTAAGGACTCCAAAATAGCTTTAGAACAGAGGTAGTATTTTTAAATTGCAGTTTAGTAGGAACGGACAGGAATGGTCAGAGGACTTCATCTGTGAGAGACCAATTTCGAAAGCAACTAAGTTTTGACATGTTTTAGAATTGCATTATTCAAATCTAAAAAAAGAAATTAATTGAAACTTACCATTTGAACTTTTAATAAGAGTAGCTAAAGATGGAAGAATGGTTTCCGTGACAACCTGATGATATTGTATAATGATTGATGGATGCTGGGATATACCTTCTAATATAGACATCACTGTATTAATAAATTCTGTAGCACCTATAGCAGCTGTAATAAAATAATTAAATCATGAGATGACACTATTACCCAGCATATTTTAACAACAAATCACAATCCTTTGTTATTCTAATGTGATATTTTCAGTCTTATTACATAAGATACATCAAAGTGACTTGTTTTACACATCAAGTCCAAAGGAAAAAGCTATATCAGCAAACCCTACACATTCCTGTCATGGTGAAACAGTGGTATATTTAAGTGTATTATATAATTCTGGAGGGTTAGACTACACCATGTACTTTTAAATCTTTAAAAATGAATTGAAATGGGGTTTAACGTCCTACTGTTCTGCTCCACCTGGGCTCATGAAGATGGTAAATCGATATAAGTTTCCCATACAAGGTAAATGTACATCATCATAAGTTGAAGATACATTAGTTAAGAGCTGAATCTGCCTATTGCAAGTCTTTCTTCAGGCTTCAGATGTTATAAAAATAATTAATTAGACCTTTATTTACAAGACAAGACAAGTAATTTGACTGAAATTTTCAATATTTTCTTTCTTTATCATCGTTTTTTGAATTATTATAGCAAGAATGGCCAACTCTTGATTAAACTCTTAACTAATGTATCTTTAACTCATTAGCATTGACTGCCTGAAGCTACTACTCCCTCTAGTGCCTAAAACCACCTGAGTCATGTGAATAGCTGTGAATCATTTATGGACTAGTGTTCTGTGACTTGAGCAGTTTGAGGTTGTGTAGTAAGCAATAGTTTGGGCAGTTTTGAAAATCAGCTATAGATTCCAATGTAAAAAAGATTAGTTTTCTCTAACTGGAATAGTTCTAACTGCTAAAGGATTAACGGAACAGATTACAAATTTGTTATAATATTAATGTAATTACAATAAGACATTTCAACAATTTACAATTCAAAATAGTTCTTAAAGACATGAAACAAACGGAAACAGTTACAGTATACTAGAATATAAATATTGATATATATATATATTATCATCATCACAGCAAATAAAACAATCTGATTAAAACACAGATCCTACTTCGTTTTGTTTTTTATAGTTCAAAATTTCGTTTTACTTGTCTTCACAACACTAGGATCTGGAAGAGTTGTTATATAACCCGCATTCTGGATGATCTGAGGGATTAGCCAATGAAACAGTCTGTTACGGCAAGCTTTTGGCGTGAACTGTGGGTAACCCATTAGAAACATCAATGCTGATTGGTTAATCAAATGTCTGATATCATAGGGTCAAAAGCTGCTTGTATGACCTCTCACTACAATCGGCCAGATCTTCATGTAGTGTAGGACATCAGAGTATAAAAAAAAATGAAACGAAATATAGATCTGTATTTTAATCAGATTGCAAATAAAACAGACTATCTACATCACTCTATACACTACAAGCAATAACATCTAGAATAACACGACATATAAACTAGATTTGTATTCAGGCCAGAACAAGGAGGCTACGACTTTGATGGGGCCTCCCCACTTTCCCTGGTACTGGCAAAGGGGGAACTCTCTGATAAATATTATTGATATAAAATAATAAAAATAAAGAGAGTCAACACGGTTCATTTGGCACAAACTATTAAAATGTACATATGCATACATAAATCATCTCACAAAAATACTTAATGAGAACTTTGAAATAGAGCTTAGATTTGCCATCACATCGAACCCAAGACCCCTTGTTTTGTGAGTCCCCACCATACTCACTGGACAACCATAGTGCACCAAGTACATTATCTTCAAATTTGATAATTGAATTAGATTTCTCTTTAAAACTAATACATTACTGGTTTTATGTATGCTACTGTTAATATTAATAAAGCATAGGTTTATAAGGTATATATATATATTGAGAGAGAGATAGGTTAAAATGAAACATTTAGTACCTTTCATTTTTTCTGCAAAAAAAAAAGTAATAGAAAAGAAATTGAAATCATAAACAATATATGCTAAAAGTTTTGCAATGTGTCAAGTAATGTGCAATGTGTATTTATATAATTCATGCACCAAGCAATAAGTGCATAGACTCATATCTAATTAGAAACTCAAGAGATCTTATTCACAAAAACTTGAATAATCATAACTTGCCAGGTAAACTAACATATGCCCCACAGCTGTGTTGATATTTCAGAATGTTTCTTGTCGGACATTTTTACAGTAAATAAAGGGAAATAACTATTTAATATTGTTTTTACGCAGGTGGACTCAGACCACAATTAATAATTACAGTTTTAACCCAATACTAACTCTTCCAGAACTTAACTCTATAGCAAGGTAATCTACATTTATCAACAATTAGCCAGGGGCAACAACTCTTGAACTACGTTTGTGATAGAGATGATTGTGACACAAATATTTACTCTTCCTCAAAATATGATCAAAACCATGATTCTTACCCAATTACCAACTATTTCCTGAATTTAATACTGTAGAATGGGTACAAGTAAGTGTCGATAGGCAGAGGGAAGGAGTGAAAACTGTCAATAAATTTGAATAATTTCGCAATTATTGACAATAAAAATAACAGTATTTGATAAAAATTTGAACAATACAGGTTGAAGGGGATATAGCTGGACATAGCAAAAATAAATCTAACACAGATTTTCAAAAAGCAATGTTTCAACCCAAGTTATAATATGCTCTTAAGATCCTTGGTGCTCATGTGAATCTAACATTTTACTATGAAGCTCGATTGAACTAACATAACTTGATGTATATTATGTGCAAATTGATTTTCCAAAAAGAAAGTCGAAAGTAAAACATCCATACCTGAACTAGCATCTATATTTGTTTCTTTATTTTCTATATTGTTGACATGTGACAGGAGAGAACCTAGATCCTTTAAAAACTGTTCATTTACCACACGATTACGAAACACCTACAATAAACAAGGGTTAATAAAAATCAATAAGAGTGAAAATAAACAAGAAGGAGATCAATCAATCTATTATCGACAAAAAGTTCCCTAATATAACCTCTCATTTAAGGCTATTCGTTGTTTCTGACGTGAAGGAAGAATGCTTCAAAGCCGTAAACTGACATGGTGCCATGCTATATCGAATCTGAGTTTGGAAATCATCAAGTTAGATTCTGGTAAATTTGTGCATTTTCTTGCTACTTTCCATGGTTTGGCTTGTGCCCTACAACCCTGCCTTTGTAAACAAACAGAAAATTAACTTGACATCAGACAGATCATATTGTTTTAATATTTCAAATTGTTTCCCTCCTGTTATGTTCTAACAAGTGTAAACACATCACTTTCGCATCACTGCTATTACAATGGAAATCTTCATCACACCGTATATACTATTGCCGTGCAATTAATTTGATATTTTTTAAGAACTGACACACGTAGGGTCTATTGAAATGGTCAAACCATCTGTACAGGGTTATTATATATTCCGGGTTCATCAGGGTCTAAAGTTAAAAGAAATGAAAAGAAATGGTGTTTAAAGTCCTACTTTTCTGCACCAACCAAGCTAATGAAGATGGGCATACACCAGGCTATGTGGACATTTTGCCAGGACAACAGCATTTTTGCCTACCCTTCATAAAAAATTTTTCCTTGTCAGGCCCTCCATCCTGCACCACTTTCAAGGGGCCAAATGGAAAAAAAATAGTATATCTATGTTGTCTGATAGTTCTAAAGTTTCAGCTTAAAATGGAGATTATTTCCTCCAAAATAATCACGTACATTAACAATAAATATAATGAGTAAATGTAAATAATTAATGTACATTACCTGGCTTGTAACAAGATGTAGACCAATAGGTAAGAGAGGTAAATTACATTTCAACTGTCGTGACTGCTGAGCTGATGGATGTTTTCTACCAGATACAGAATCAAGTACACCCAATATCTCTTCTACAAGAAAAAAAATACATAGGTACAACTTCATTACAAGAAAAGCACTATGGAAGAACATCTAATATGCCCATAATATTCTTAGGACATTGTTAAATGAAGCCTACAGGAGGCAGGGTTGGGTGGAAGCTAAGTTCATAAATTGCAGAAAATGAATGAAACAATATCTTGTTAACAACTATGCAACATTATCCATGATAAAACTGTTACACTTTTTGCTTTTAGAAAATACATTGCCCTCGGATTTAAAAACACTAGAAACATTGACTACCTAACTTTGAAAGCCCATAAAATACATAAACATTTATGAAACAGTGCAAAGATTAAAGACAATACACGAAAAACTGTAAAACACCAATAAAAGATCACAGACAGACAATGAACTACCATAATGTGATACATTTAAAAAATGAGTGTACAAAAAAGGCTTTTCAAGTCACTATCAAAAGTGGCACTTTTCTTTAAATTTCCTACAACATATTCCAAGGATTTCGTCAAAAATACAACTGTAAAACTAAATCTTACTAATGTTAAAATACAACTAAATCTTACTGATGTTAAAATACAACTACATCTTACTGATGTTAAAATACAACTACATCTTACTAATGTTAAAATACAACTACATCTTACTGATGTTAAAATACAACTACATCTTACTGATGTTAAAATACAAGCTTAAAACTAGATCTTACTGATAATATTAGGTAATGTATCTGTGATACTGTTGATCAATCTATCAAGCGCCTGATTTAAAAACGCCACGGTTTCTGGTGTTTCAGTTCGTGGTTCTCGTGGTGTCTGACGTCTACTGTCACGTTCGATATACATCACTAACCTGTTACAAAAACAATAATAATACACTGTCACGTTCGATATATACATCATTAACCTGTTACAAAGCAATACACGGTAAATACAGTCTACATTTCCAATGCTTATCAAACATTTAGAGTCGGTGATTGTCATCTGAGGCATTTAAAATCCCATGTAAACTACAATATTGTGAAAGTTGAATCTCTAAAAGAAATATCGGTCCAAATATGGTTCATTTCTGTTCAGTTTTTCAAAATATATGATAAATTGAAAATTTTGAAACAGTCAACATCGTCTTCAGATATAAAGTAAACAAGACACAACCACCTAAAAAATGTTGGGCAAAATCCTTTGATGGGCCTCTATTTAATTCACCCTGGGAGAATACCTATTCTCTATATTTTTTTTCTTTTAATTAAATGTTAAATATACAATCTGAGTATAATTTAGCAAAGATTAAACAGTGAAAAATTAGATATTGTCAAAGGATCAGAAGCTTTTTACTATGGTTCAATTTCATTTCAATAATTCGCTTGCGCATAGAGATCTTTAGCAGTGGGCAGAAACTACTGGAGGACCTGGAGAAAACCCATGAGGTTGGACAGGCAACCCAACTCCTTGTCACGTACAAGCAGGAAATCGAACCCACGCCAGTTGACTCAATGACAGACCTTATGATACAACCATTCGGCCATTCTCCCCCCCCCCATCTTATATAACAAGAATCTTTATATTGCAGGTGAGATTATTTTTGTTATTGAGATAATTGAATAAAGA